AGTTTAGAAGCAGAAGATTCACAAGAACAAGAAACAAGCTTAGAAGGTTGAATGAAGAAAATGAACACGAATATGGCTATTTATAATGGTAACATTGGATTCTCAGTCATTTAATGCTTCACCACATTTTACGAGTGATGGTGACCTCTCTATTCACGTAGACCACGAGATAGTGACTTCTTAGTCATGTCTAACATTGGATTCTTTTCTCATTTAAGCCATCCTATATACTTCCAAACAAGCTTTCTCTCCTTCTAAACAAAGATGCCTTCTGACATTCATATAGATAAAGAGATAGTGACTTCTTAGTCATGCTTAGCATTGGTTTCTCTTCTCATTCAAGCCATCCCATATACTATCAAACAAGTTTTCTCTCCTCCCAAACAAAGATGCCTTCTAACATTCACGTAGACAAAGAGATAGTGACTTCTCTAAATTCTAAGGCTACTCTTTCGTACCGAAGTTTATCTATAAATATGTTCATCGAAGGCCACGTGTTTTCATTTAAACTTGCATCCATCTTTGTTCTTTGTTTCACTCTGTCTTTACTCCCATTACTAAAAATGTTGTTATAGAAGTAAAACGAACACAGGTCCGCCTTCATTGGAAGAACGGTAAGTTTTACACATTACCATTATTAACTAAATATGTAAATCAATATTTTACATATAATGTGACTAATTTATTAATAATTGCAGGAAATTGAAAACATGATTTCATCTTTCTGTCATTCAATACCAGAGTTCAGTCCTCTAATTGTTCCTATACTTGAACAACTTAGTTTTGCTGAGGTAGCAAGCTAAGGCATTTTAATGTGGATCACGCATTGATAACAACTTTGGTCGATAGGTGGAGACTTGAAACTCACATATTCCATTTTCCAACAGGGGAGTGCACCATAACCTTGGAGGATGTTGCACTTCAACTCGGGCTAAGAGTTGATAGTTTACCAGTCATTACTCCAACAATGTTTGACTGGGAGAAAATGTGTGACACATATCTTGGTATCGTGCCAGTTAAGAGAGAGTCACTTATTGGCTCTATGATGAAACTGAAGTGGCTGAGAGATAACATGTTGCTATTACCAGAAGAACCATTTAAAGAAGAAGTTCACGCCCATTGTAGGGCTTATATACTAAGTTTAATTCGAGGTGTTTTGATGTCTGACAAAACAGGCAACAAAGTATATCTTATGTATTTAGCTTTATTAACTAATCTTAGAAGAATAAGACGATATAGTTAGGGTTCTGCTTGTTTAGCTATGTTGTACAGGAAAATGTGCAGATATAGCTATGGTAGCAAAATAATGGGTGGTTGCTCATCACTGTTAATGTCCTGGATATGGTATCGCATGCCATATATTGCACTAATTTCTAATAATCCACCAACATGCCCTCTTGTGTGCAGATGGAGCGGGGTAGAGTACTAAACTTTCAAAATAAACCAAACAATGATGTTGTGGGGTACAGATCAACGTTTTATCACATTCAAACTAATTAGATAACTCTTCATATTTAATTTCTTATCTTTTATACATCATCTTAAGTAACAAAGTTAAATTTATTTGTAGTTTTTATGGGCGCTATATCAAGACTTGCAAACGTCAATACCCGTGGAAGCATATAGAGATGTCCAACTGTGGACTTCATGTACCACTATCCTTTGTTTTGCAATTGTTGAATGATACCAAATAAATAGAGTCAAATTACAGTTTCGTCTCTTCTAAGAAGTCCCTTCTTCACAGAATAATTTGAATGACCTTCACAAAATTGACATGAGAGAAAGACAGAATTAAAATTAGGTTACAAGACATGCTTAATGGATTGAGATATGGAACAATAGATGTGAGTTGAAAATAACGGGTCATCCAATGCAAGACTCATTGTGTTACACATAAGAATACATGGAATGGTACATTGTCAATTCCATCTATTTTCTATCTGTACGACCACTACTACAAGATCCAAGGAGAAGCGACCAACAACTAAGGACTACCAACACATTTGAAATCGATACGACTTCCACACCGTCGTACCACGAGATTGCATCGAGACTGAGTTAATTCTTTCGAATATTATGCTAGAAGCAAACATAATTAACACAAGACATTCGTTTGCAACAACAATGGAGGATTTTTTTACAAACTTATTTGGAGTTGATTTTACAACTCAATCTTCAGCACAACTTACATGCAGTCTTTTTATCAACCGAATTTTGCTAATCAACCTGATAATTCATCAAATGGATTCCAACAACTAAACCTTCATGATGATCTAAATTCTCTACAAGTTCATCCTGAAATCCCAGAGCCACGTCAGAAATGTTGCCCTTATTGTAGAACTGACCACCATTACAGAGATAGTTAATTATTAAATTTATTATGAATTTGTTATCATCTTTATTAATTCACTTTGTCTTCATCAATGTTACCTTAATAATATGAAAATGTTAATTTTAAAATATTTGTCTCAAGTATAAATAATTAACTTATAATTTAATATTTTATTTACTTTTTAAAAATAAATTTTTTATTCTAAAATAAAATTTATTAAAGATTATAATAGTAAAGTTTTAGGGTTTAAAGTATTAAAAATTATAATATTAAATAATGTAATTTTTAAAAAACTAATTTAATTAAAATAAAATTTTTATTCAAAAATATCATTTTATTATACTAATATTTAAAAATATTAACTCAAAATTACATATTTAAATAAATAAATAAATAAAATAATATTTAATATATTTATTTAATTTTTAAAAATATAATTATTATTCTTTAAGTATAAATAATTTAAGCATTAACATTATTATCTAAAATAATATACTTATTATTTAAATATTTTAATTAGTTTTTAAAAATATAATTATTATTGTTTTCTAAAAATATTATTTATTATCTTAAATATGTAAAATAAATTTTAATAAACATGTAAAATAAATATTATTTTTATTTTTATTCATTTTCAAATAATATAAAAATATAAACATAATTCAAATAATAAAACTTATTTTATTATATATAATTAGCAAAATATTTATTTTAACAAAATATAAATATATAAATATAATTTAAATAATAATATTTATTTTATTATATAAAAACATAAAACAAAATTTAAAAACAAAAAAAAAAGCTAAGTCCGAATTCGGTCCCTGGGTGACCAAAATTTGTTATAGTGATTGGGTTTATTTGGGTAAATAAATAGGTGATTGGTCTATTTCTGTATTTTTTTTATTTTTTTAATAATTTTTCTGTAAAAATTTCAAGTTTAGGAGGAATTATAAAACTCTCAACCAAGGATTCCCATTAAATAAACCTTATTCTTTTTTTTTTTCATGAAAATTAATTCCTACATAAAGTTATGTTATGTTTTATTTAAAGTTTTGTTTGAAAGTTTAAAAGAAAGAAAGAAAATTATTTGAAAGGTAAAGAAAGAGAGGACAAAAAAAGATGAATGAAGGATAATAAGAAATTTTCTAAATTAGATGAATTTAAAAAAATGAGATTAGAAAGGTTTTAATTCTCCCTTTCATTTAAAGACTATTGAATAAGGATTATTATTAAACAAGTCTTCCCCTTTGTTATTTTTCTCCCTAAATACTAACTCCCAAACAAAGTTTAAAAAAAATAAGATTCAATTATATAGTATGAAGTAATTGTCCAACGTTAAAAATTATGAGATTTTAATGTGAGATTTAGAAGATATTGTTTAGCATTTAGTTTTTGAAAAGAAAAAAAGAGAAAAAAAATTATCTAATAATAATATTTGTTTAAATTTTTTTATTTATCAACACTTCTTACTACTCCTTTATTCTTCAAATTATTTTCTTCCTCTTCCTTTTAACCCTCAAACAAAATCTAAAGTTTTAAACTTGAAATGCAACTTTAGTTGTATTATTTTATTTTATTTTTATTTAATTGTTTTAAAAAATAAAAAAACTTTACAGTTAAAAAATAATGAAGATAATTAATAATTTTATATTAACACAAAAAATATAATAAAAAAATAAAAAAGTTCTAAAGTTAAATTTACTTTTTAAAATATTTTTATATGATCTATTTATTTTTATTTTCACTGTTAAGAAAAAGTAATTTTTAATTTCATTTAATCTTATTTCTATCCATTCAACTTTTGTATCATTTCTACTCTAATTGTTTTTTATAAACTTCATTTCTATTTCATTCTTTTTTATTCTTTTTCTCTATTCTGTTCTTTAATCTAACTAGACCATTTCACCTCATTATATTCCCACTGTAATTGCTTTTCTAAATTAATCAAAGCATGAGGGTCACCGTTGTCAACTTTCAAGGCTTCTCCCATACTGTTTAGTTTCTAAGATTTGAATATTCCACTTCATTGAGCCATAGATAACATTATGTCTCCCATTCTTGAACAAACCCTGTGACAGTTATTATAATACCATGACAGTGATTATGAACATGCCAAACAGCTTAAGCTAATTATACTTTTGAATTACATGAAAATAATTAATGAAATTTATAATTTTAATCTCAAACGACATTTTGACTATATAAGTAGAAATTAAAAAAATGAAATTCAAATATAAGTTTTAGTTTAAAATTTTATTATTTTCAAATTTTAAAATTAAATTTAAACACATAATTATAATTATTTTTAGTAAAAATATATTTATTATATTAAATTATAAAAATTTGACAAAAAATGTTATCTTATTTTAATTTTTTTAAGATTTATACAGGACATTATATTTTTAAATTTTTATTGTTTTTACAAATCTTGAAAAACTTAATTTTCTTTTCAGTGAGTTAAAACCTGATTACAGTTTCACATTTTACTAACATGCCTGTTCCAATAAAAAAATGCCACGTGGCTAGAGGAATTCAAACTTAAAAAGCCCATGATCTTCTATTGGCGGTGACAGACCCTACCAGCACCAGCATGTAAACTTAAACAAAGCCCTAGTTGAAAAGCGAAAAGGACAAGAATGCATTATATCCGGATTTAAGAATCGTGACTTTCCTTTCTCTCTCTAAACACACTCTCTCTCTAAAATCCACCATACCAAACCCTGAGCTTACTTTTTCACTACAACAAGATCTAAACCCTGGTACACGCTCTTTTCTTTTTTATGGTTCATTTCTCTTAGATGGGTATCAAAGTTTGAATCTTTATGCTGTTTTCTTTTCTGGGTTTTCTGCAAAAAATCTATTTACCCCCTCTTTATTTATATATCTGTGTACGACATGGACAAATCTGTGCAATTTTTTCGTCAGGGTCTTTTTCTTTTTGCCAAATTCATGGGGTGAAAAAAGGGTACTTTTTGTGTTTATTGAACATTTGAAGTTTTAATTTTTGTTAGATGCAATTTCCATGGATCAACAAGAGAAGGGTTTATCTAATTGTGGGGCTTCAGAATCCACAGTGACCCATGGTGAGAAAGGGGGTGATGGAACCCTAGAGAGGTCTGTGGGTTGTGGGGGTCAGGTTCAGACGGAGGGTTCATTTTCTGAAGAGTTGGTTGAGGAGGGTGGGGCTTGTAATGGGAAGGATGTAATGGTGGAGGTTTTGGGTTCAGATGTGTACATAGATGGTGTTTGCACTCATGGGAGTGGTGCTGAGCTGAATGATGAAGTGGGTGGTGGGGGATCAGTTGAGGGTGACGATGTGAAGTCTGAAGTGGTAGGTACTGGGGGTTCTCAGGCTGTAGAATCTGAAGAAGCTAAGAGTGAGAATGTGGCAGTGGAATTGGACAGTATGATGGTGGTGAGAGAAGAGAGAAATATAGCAGTGGTTGGTAGTGATGAATTTGATGCTGCATCTTTACAAGATTCTGTTATGGATAACAGAGCTCCGAAAGAAGTGGGAACTGGGGCTAGCAACGCTGAAGTTCCTGTTGTGACGGATGTTAGGGTTGAGTGTGCAAATACACTGGATGCTGGCGCCCCAGATGATAAGGTGACAAATAGTAGATGTGATAATGCTTTAGGATGTCCATTAACAGGTAGTTCTGTAGGAGGAGGAAATGTACAGAGTGGATTGCCTGAAAAGGATAATCAAGAGAGGAACTTGATTGCTAATGAAGCACTGAAAGATGGAAATGAAGTGACCTTAGAAACACTGGATGAAGAGAAGAACATTGCTAACATGCAGAGCGGTAAAATATTAGAGAAAAAAGAATCTATCAGCCATAAAGTTGAATCCAAGGAAAAGGTAAATTCAAATGCGGAGCAACCGATGGAGATTGATAAAGTCGATGACAACTCTAATAATGTACTAGAAGAAGTGGTTGGTGGAACTGAAGTTGCAATGGACAAGGCCCTTCCATCTTCTGAGGAAAAACAGCTATTTAGCTTGACAAAATGCACTGAAAAGGAACATGTAGCTGACACTTCACAGGTTTGTTCAGATACAGGGCAGGAAATAGTTGACAAGGATTCAGCCAGAGAAATGGAATTAGACAAGAATGCTGAAGATCAGCCCAAAACAGAAAGGAATAAAATATTGAACCACACTTCAGGCATTGATGGTAAGATCTTTGTTGACCCTGTAACTGCTTATCTTCCACCTCAATCAGTGGTTGAAAATGAAATTTTAAACATGAATAAAAATGTTCCTATGGTTCCAGACAATTATGCTTGTGATTCTGTGGATGCAGGTACATTGGTTGTGAGTGAGAAAAATTCAGATGCCAATGCAATTTCTGTGATTGTAGAAGACACTCAAATTACTGACCGGGATAACGTTGCAGTGATGGATGCTGGAAAGGAAAAAATCCATGATGAGTCTAATATTAGGCAAAATGTTGAAGTACAAGCTGGCATTGCTGAGCAGGTTGGTTCAAATGGAGGTCAGGAAGTTGAAGCTGAAGAATTTAATGAAGCTGAACAGAGAAAGACAGATGTGAGAGTCACGAGAAGATCACTAATGAAGCTTGGGAGTTCAGAAATATTTCATCATGCAAAATATTTGCTTCCAGCAGAAACGGAAGGTGAGTTTTCTGTGTCTGATATGGTTTGGGGCAAGGTGAGAAGCCACCCGTGGTGGCCTGGACAGATATTTGATCCCTCAGATTCGTCTGAGAAGGCAATGAAGCATTGTAAAAAGGACTGTTATTTGGTAGCATATTTTGGGGATAGAACGTTTGCATGGAATGAGGAGTCTCAGCTAAAACCTTTTAGGACATATTTCTCCTCTATTGAAAAGCAGAGCACTTCAGAATCGTTTCAGAATTCTGTGGATTGTGCTCTGGATGAAGTCACAAGACGAGTAGAATATGGGTTGGCATGTTCTTGTATACCTAAACAGACCTATGACTCAATAAAATTCCAGACTATAGAAAACACTGGGATTCGACCAGAACTAAAGTTGAGACATGGGTTGGATGAATCTCTCAATGCCAACACCTTTTCCCCAGATAATCTTATAGAATACATGAAAACACTATCTCAGTTGCCAATTGGTGGCTTTGATAGATTGGAGCTTGTGATTGCTAAGGCTCAATTGCTTGCATTCTATCGTTTCAAGGGTTACACTTGCTTGCCAGAATTGCAAAATTGTGCAAGTTGGGATGATGATGTGGACACCTTGTTTTACGATGATGAGAAAAATTTGAATGAAGCTGTTGATCATGCAACTCCTGTACTTACAAATGATGGTCAAGATGGTCTTGGTAATTTGAAAAACCAAGGCAGCTCTTGTCGCAAACGTAAACATAATTTGAAGGATATTATGAATACAACAAAGAAGGAAAGAAGATTGTCAGAACTAATGGGTGGGACTCTAGATTCTCCTCCTGATGGTGATTATTGGTCTGATGAGAAGGCAACTGATAATCTGGTTTCACCTGGCCATTCCAAGAGAAGGAGGACTGTTGATCACTATGCTGATGACTCTGGGATGCAAGATGGAAGAAAAACAATTTCCGTTGCGAAAGTTTCAAATACCACAAAGCCATCATTTAAAATTGGTGACTGTATTCGAAGGGTTGCTAGTAAACTTACCGGGTCTCCCTCTGTGATGAAGAGTTCTGGTGACCGGTCTCAGAAGATAGATGGAAGCACTGATGGTTTTCCTGGGAATGGATCTGATGTTTCCTTTCAGAATTTTGAGGAGTCTCAGAGGTCAAGTGTAGTTGTTCCGACAGAGTATTCATCTCTAGACAATTTGCTATCTTCATTTCAGAGGGTGGCACAAGAACCCCTTGGAGATTATAGTTTCCTGAATGCTATTGTAAGCTTCTTCTCTGATTTCAGGAATTCAGTAGTTGTGGCTGATGATTCTGCAAAAGAGATCTTTCGCACAGATAAAGTTGGTTCTAAAAGGAAGAAATTATCTGTAGCTGGAACACCAGAAACATTTGAATTTGAGGATATGAGTGATACATATTGGACAGACAGGGTCATCGACAATGGCAGTGAAGAGCAACCAGTGCAATCATCACAACTGCCACGGAAACACCGGAAAAAAGACTATCAACTTGTTCCTGCTGAGCCAGGGAAGCCAGTTCAAGTTAGTCGTAGACCCTATTCGAGGAAACAATATTCTGTCAGCAATCATGTTGAGGCTCCTGAAAAACCTCCCGGTTATATAGATGAAAATGCCCCTGCTGAACTTGTAATGAACTTTGCCGAGTTGGATTCTGTTCCCTTAGAAACAAACCTTAATAAAATGTTTAGGCGTTTTGGACCACTAAAGGAATCTGAAACGGAAGTTGATAGAGTAAGCAGCCGGGCAAGAGTGGTTTTTAAGAAGTGTGCTGATGCAGAGGTTGCTTGCAGTAGTGCTCAAAAGTTCAGCATATTTGGTCCAATACTTGTAAATTACCAGCTCAATTATACTCCAAGTGCATTATTCAAAGCTCCGCCTGTTGCCACAACACAGGACCAGGAGATGCATCTTGATCTTTCCAATTTTGAAGTTAATATGGTCTAAATTGTTTGGTAAGTCACTTTAAAGTACTATTTCATACACAATATGTTGATTGGTTCACTTTTTTGCCTTAGTTACTTTATGCTACTGTGATGTGTGGACTATCTTCAAGGAAAAATATTATGCTTGAATGTCCAATTTTCATGGAAATTGGAAAGGTTATTTTAAAATGAGTTTGTCTATAAAGCAAGCAATGGTGTATCCTCCCCTAATTTGATCTAAGGTGCTTCTGATCTTAATCCACTAAGTTGATTTAAGGGTGGACACATCTTTACTTATTTTAAAGACAAGGTTACATTATTAGAGGATCCTTTATCAATCATCTTTGGCTTTGTTTGTGAGTTTAATTCAGGGTCTAGGGAAAGGGAGAGGGGAGCATTTTTGAAATTTACCCTTGTTTGTTGGTTATTAAAGTTGGAGGGGAAGGAATACGGTAGTTTTACAAGCCCTCTAAAATTCCTCTCACATGTAACTTTTAAGTTCCTTCATTCTTCTTCTTATTATTATTATTAGTATTACTATTTTTATTCTTTTGGGGTGGGGGGAGCACTGTAGAAAAATAATATATAAACAAATGAGGGCTTTAGTCTCCCTTCTCCGTCCAAACTCCCAAACAAAGCCTTAATTATTTGGCTATCATTTTGATTTGGTGGTTGATTGAATTATTCCTGCCCATAAATATTTTGGGAAGTAAAAACTTATAAAGAAACACCACAACAATGATTGTCTGGCAACAATGTGAGACTGCTGAAGAGAAGGAAAAATTTGGAAAATAGAAAAAGGTATTATGTGCTCGGACAGTTTGATCATTAATATTTGGATTTCATGATGCCAATGCATCCTATGTGAGTTCTATTTGCTTTCTTAGAAGTGTGCATTACAAAAAGAAAAGTTTCAGTTTGAGAGCAGGCATTCTGAATGATTTTGGATGGGATCTTTATTGGTGTTCCTTATATTGACTTGAAAATTTTGATAAGTAAATCATCTGGTTTCTTTGGTACAAAAAGGATTTGGAATTCTGTTCTCCCCCTCTGTTTGGGTAGGTTGGTCCTTTTATCCAATTATGAAAGTAAAGAGTTGGGAATACTAAAATATAAAAGGAAAGAAAAATTGTTTATTTGGTTTGCACCATACATCTTGTGTTTGGTCGGGTACTATATTTACATGTACTTCAAATTGACATCTAATTCAAGTGCAATTTCTGCGAACGATAAATGATATTTGTGATTCTCATTTTAGGTAGCGTTGACCATGATGTGGCAGCACAAGTTTGGCTGAATGAATTGCTGAATCAAATTTTTGCCAAGTGACTGCTGAAGGAGGTAACCAGAATGTTAATTCATCTGGTCATCCATTTTTCTGTTTAGAGATATTTTTGGTTGTAGGATTCCTTTTATTGTAGCATCGTAGTTTGTAATCCATTTTGTAGTTTCCTGTATAGCCTCATCAACTGACCCTCTTTTGTAGTTGCCATCACTCTCCTTCCAGATTGTTTTGAATTCTGTAGTCTGAACACTGGATCTGTAGAAATATCAATGCTACATATAATAGTCATCGGCAATTATACTTATTCCTCAGAGGGATAGAAGTTGATGCTAGTCATGTTGGTTATATGCCTTGGTTTTATCTTGAGTGCAGGAGTATGCTATTTGTTGCCCTTGTCAAAATCTTCATATTTTGTTGCGTGTTTGATAGGATATTTGAGACATTGGTGAGTGGTGACTGTAAAATAGGAGTATGATGAGATTGAGCCAAATTCAAATACTTGTTTTGATAACATCTTTCTGTTTTTATTCGGTGATAGTTTATGCCACTTGTTCTATAGCACGTTGGGTTTAGAAAATAATCGCTTGTTTTTGGTCCATTTTTTGAAAGTTATTGAAAAATAAGAGATTGTTTTTCCTGAAACAGTTATTGCCAAACATGCTTCTATTGTATTCCTCTATCTCCCATCACTGGAGCACCAAAATCCCAATAAAAAAGAATGCTTTGGAAATTTTAAAATGGAGAATGCTCAAGTAGGGAGTGTTCTGAATTATGATCTTTATAGCACTTGCTTTGATCCTTTCCTGCTTATGACTGACTAGTATTTCTCTTTTAAACCTTGCTCAAGGTTCTCTCTCTTGATCATTTTGACTTAAATTATTCAAGTCAAATGTCCTAAACACTCCCTGTGTGTGGTCCCAAACATATATAACTTGGTATCATAGTATGATGAGATATTCCATTCTTCCTTTCCCCTTCTCAAATGATTTTGATTTAGAACTTCTTGTGCCATGAAAAGTAAATACTTTCATTAGCTTTGAAGTCCGGGGTACCCTGGATTTAATAGTGTACAAGTACCTAATATTTACTGTAGCATGTCTGAAAACACATAGGTCTTCCAATGTCACAAGAGTATCCAATTACCATTATCTGTGACAGTCGAGATCATGTTCACGGACCCCGTTAAGATGCTTTTTATAGATATTTTTCTAAAGATTTATTATAATTTAGTCAAAATATTTAGTTTTTAATTGAAAGGCACGAGAAATAGGGGAAAGGAATAGTCCACAAATGAGAAAGGAAACAATAACCTTAATCACAATTTTTCGTTTTACGAAACTGAAATGGGCTCGACGCTGTTCTTTAGTTGTATGCTCCATTGAGATTAAATCTTGTTCATTTGGCGGTTCTATTTTGTATCACCGATTTCTTTTACTGATCACACCCTCCTTATTTCTCTTCAAGACTGTTATCGTCAAAGAACGGTTGATTGTGTCTATGTTTTTCAAATATTTTAATTTCAGAATGTATTAAAATGTTTTTTAGAAATTTAATTATGGAATGTCTTGTAAATTAATTTTGGTATTTTAATTCCTGAGAACATTTGCAAATATTTTAAAGTTAGTTCTTTAGGATATTTTTGAAACAAAACCCAATTTTTATGAAAAATAATTTCTTATTTATTTACTCTTTTACCAGCGAATATGATTGAAATCTCGTGGAAAGATGATGGTGACTCATCAAACCAAATTTGTTGACTCAAAATAAAAACAAAATTGAAATTTGTGTCGAGTCGTGGCACTTTGTTTGTGTAGAATCGTTAGATGATGGTGACTTGCGGGTCCAGAAAAAGAAAAGATAATGGTGGCTTGGAATAAGTTTTAGCTTCTCTCCCTATCTAATCTAATCTATTTTAAATGCAATACTAACAAGGTTGTTTATTGTTGTGAGAAGATAGAAGACTTCAGCCCCAAAAATGGATCATATAGTAGATAGTCAGACTCAGTGGGCTATAGGAATGTCAACAAAACCACCTAAATTTATAAAAACAGGACGCATCCGCACACGCTTTCTAGCCGAAACCAACGCCATTCAACGCTAGATTCTCCCCAAGTACAAAGCACACCAAAATCATTGTTTGTTCGTGTTTTCATGTGAAATTTTGCATTGCACTGCATAATATGGGTTCCTTTTTAACATTAAAAAAATAGTTTTTTTTATAAAAATTATTATATTAAAATTATTAAAATAAAATAAATATTTTTATTTATTAATGACTTAGATTTAATCTTAAAAGCTAGTATTGATATTTTTTAAAATCATCTTTTAACATAAAACTGGTTACATATTAGTGCATTCAAAAGATTCAATGCTTTTTGCAACCTTTGTTACTGTGGGAGTTGCTCTCGGTAGGTCTTTAAACCCTAAACTTTAAACTTTAATTTATCTACAATTTTCTTTTACGTGGCTTTGAAACTCTAGGACCGGTTTGTTTTTTTTTTAAAAAATAAATTTTTTATTAGTTAAAAAAATAAAACTTGCTTAACATGAATTTTTAAAAATATTATTTATTTTTAGAACTAAAAATTGAACTTTGAAGTGTAGAAATTAGGGATGACAATTGAAACAAAACTTCATGAATAGTATCAAAATTATTTATAGTGAATATGGGTTTTATTCATCAAATAAATTTGTATAATATTTTACCTAAAATTGTGGTTATAAGTACGGTTGGATATTATAACATCCAAACCATCAAACATTAATTCCTCTCATTTCTTAGTTCTATACACACGCGCAGGTATACATATGCATATGTAACTTTTTTTCGCTGTATAAGTATTATTACATTAAATATTAAAAATATATTGAGTAATTAATTTACATATATTAAATTTTATAAGATTTAAATATTTTATTATATTAAATAAAAAAATTTAAATTATGAAACATTTACAATTTAAATTTTAAATTAAGATTGGATTAGAAATATTAATATGTAAATTTATTATGGCTTAATGGGAATTCTTTAAATGTTTAAGTGTTATATATATATAATGCACTATCCTCTGGTCTGCGCCACTGGACCATGTGGACGAAATTTCTTTAAGCCATTATGTCCTTGTATCAAAACGGATTAGCACCACCCAAGGATGTGACCATACAACAAGCATAATCAATTTTGTGATGATATATCCGATATACATGAATCATATTCCTATTTAATATTATTTTATTAAACTTTATAATTGTTCAGTATTCACTCTCGAAAAATCTACGTAGGTATGGAAAAATAAAATAGAATGAAACAAATTATATCGGATAATTTTTATAAAAAAGGTGCAATTTAGCTTTGAAAGATTAATTAAATATCATAGGATAATTTTTCATATTTAACAAATTATATGTTCAAGTTTTAATTATTTTTTTGAAATAGAATAAGTTTTTTTTATAATTTTTATTTTTGAATTTGATAAATTTTACTGCCTTACAAGGAGACATTATCATTCTTTTTTAATTTTTTTAAAAAACAAATTACAATTATTGGCACACACAAGAAGAGATGACCCGAGATTAATTCTTTATAATTTGAAATATTTAAATATATAAAAAATAATATTAATAATAGAAGAAAAAATAACTTTAACATGGTTTATCATATTTTGTTTATGTCTACAATCTTTCAACATAATTTTTTTTAGCTACTATTTTTTAACAGAAAAAAATTATAAACTGCTAAAAATTATATTAGCATTCTTGAAAACTAAGCTTATTTAATTAGGAGGAGATAAAGGAGGCTTCTACATTATTTATCTTTAGAGGGTAAAAACATTCACATGAAAAGAAAAGAAAATAACATAAACTTTAATGTAGTTTGACACCTCTTACATGTATATATGAATTTTTAACATAATTTAATTTATAATTTTTAACTAAATAAAATTAATAACACTATCACCTACTATTTTTGGATGGACCAAATTACAAGCCTTTACTTGACACATAATAACCCAATTTCATAATATACTCAAGTAAATACAAAATAAACTTTCATATTTATAATATTTGTTTACATTTTTTTTAAAATTTGATGTGAGATTTGGATGAATAATATGCTTTACCCATTATATTTATATTCTTCTTTCATCTAAATCTCTAAGTCTCTTATGTGAGCAAATAGAAGAAAGAAAATAGAGAGAGAACAACACAAGAAAATAGGGAGAGTACATACATGTACTTACGTCCACAACCATACTTACGGCATATTTTATTCGCCTATTACAAGGTGTTACTTTTATAGTAACAACAAAGCAAAGTCTCTTAAGAATAAATAATGTGGGACTAAATAAGAATAAGTGACGTGAGACTTAAATCAGACTACACAATCTTAACAATTTTTTCACTTGGAGTCTGATTTATTGCAATTCTTTGTAAACAATGAGCTCATTTGCTCTCACCTAGTGTAGCGCGTTTATCATCACTACTTGATGTTGTCTGACTTCTCTTTTGTCTAGGGTTGATACAATTTCTTCTAATACAAATAATTTTCTATCTATATTTTCTAAAATTCTCTTCCATCAAACTTCTCAATCCTCACTTTTCCCTCTTCCAACGACATTGCTTTTATTGCTTGGAAACTCCACTGCTTCCTCTAAACTAAGGCCCCGTGAAAGAACCATGTCTTTTTTTATGTGAAAGATTAGACAAAGCTGAACCACATAAACATATTAAGATATAAACTTTGATATTAGTTGTTGGGGGCAAATAAAAGAAAAAGAATAAAAAGAGAGACACACAAAAATTTAACATGATTTAACACACAATATATGCAACCACAATATATTTTATTCACTAGGGTGTATTTTAAAAACATTACAAAATATTACTTATATAGTAACAATAAAACAGAAGTCCCTTAAAAATAAGTAGTGATTTGAGACTAAATAAAAATAAGTGATGTGAGACTTAAACTCCTCTCTTATTTAGATGTTTAATATTGAAAGGGAGAGTGATGAGGGATTTAATTATACAAATGATATTATTATATTTTATTTTTTTAAAAAAAATAATTTTAAAATTAATATTTTTATTATTTTAAAAATTATTACTTGAAAAACTAATATTTTTTTAAAAAAATTTAAAATCTTATTCATAAAATAGTACAAGAGAGTGAGAGAGAAAAAACTCTCCAAAATGAGGAACTAAAAAAACATCTTTCGAAGGATTTAAAAAAACTTAAAAAATATACTCATACTAATTAAACAACTTTCAAACAAAATTAAATCTCTTCCAACCTCTCTCTTTTTCTTTTAAACCTAACTTCTAGGCATAGTCTTAGTTATCTTCTAATAATTTTTTACAACTTGAAAAAGAAAAAAATTATGTATTTATTATCTTAAAAAAATAAAACATATTCAATTATTTAATAATTAAGAGAACTTGTTGGAATAAAAATGATAAGACTTCGGAATTATACTTTCATTGTAGCCTATATGATCAAGCCATTT